ATCATCATCATCGACAGCAGCAGCAGCCTCAGCATCATCATCATCATTATCATTATCATCTTCATATTCATCATCATCATCATCATCATCATCATCGGCATCATCATCATCGTCAATAATTGATTGTTATCATCATCGTCACCGCATCACCCCATCCTCACCCTCATTATCATCATCATGATCATCCTCATCACCACCACCACCATCATCATCGCCATCACCATCATAATAATGATTGCCATCGCCATGGTCATCGTCATCGTAATTATCAGCATCATCATAATAGCATCGTCGTCATCGTCACATCAGAACCTGAGTAGTGACCCTGAGTGCAACTCTGAGTGACACTGAATAATGGGGAAGAGGAGGAGGAGGAGGAGAAAGAGGAGGAGGAGAAAGAGGAGGGAGGTGTGAGGAGTCGGCAGGGCCGGGGCAAAAATAATCGAGCGGTAAGGCCGGTTTTGTTGCAAGACCGGCTTTCGGCGGCGAGCAAGAGCCCTGGCCCCGAGTAGAAAAGGAGGAGGTATCGATGGCGATCCTTTTTGTTGAATTCCCACTCCTAGAAAATCGATATTGTTGATCCCTCCCCTTCCGGTAATTACTATATTTCGTCGATTCAAATGCTTATCCCAGGGCTCGCGCCCTGTTTCTTACAAGGAAAAGCTGAGTGTCATCAAACTGGGCCCCTGGACCCCGAGTTACAGCAACAACGGCTCCCGCCTGATATCTCCTCACAATGTATTAAAAATCGCGGTTTCGCTTTGGCCTTTCTTACGATGTTCTTGAGAATCACGCTACCGTTTGAGACTTCCTCGCGATTCATGCGAGATGCACGCTTCAGAAGGCCGCATGCTCCACCTGGCCGCCTGGGCCCGCGTTCGCGACACGCCCGCTGGGGTCTGCCCGCACGATCTGCCCGTCTGGTTCTGCCACGTGTTTTCTGTTCCTAGCCCCCCTCTCCTGCTACTCTCTCTCTCACTCTCTCGTGTTCCGTCCTTTTCTCCCCTTCCATCTGCCCATTCTTCTGCTGTTTGAGCGACTGCACTAAATACGCGTGGCAGGTAAGGAAGCTATAACCCAACGGGGGTATGATCGAAGACGAAAGGGGTGGGTACCGAGGGTTTGTGATATACGTGTTGAGTGATACGCGAACAAATAGAGGCGATCAGTCTTAAAATGACTAGTATTGTTGTTGGTGGTGGCGTTGCTGTTCTGACTATGTTGTGAGTGATGTCGCTGTTGCTGTTATTGAAATCGCATTTCTGAAGAAAAATGTTTGTTGATACCCCTTCCGGGGCACATGATATTTTTCAATTGAAATGTTTTTTTTCCAGGGCGCGCACTCTGTTTTTTATTTGAGGAAATCTTGGGTCACCGAATTGTGTCTTTGGCCCTCAGTTTACAACAACAATAACAGCAACAACAACAGCAACGGTTCCCGCCTGACCATTCCTCACGATGTATTCCCAAATCGCGTTTTCGCGCGGGGCTCCCTCACAATGGCTGCAGAAATCGCGCTACGTATTCACGTGGCGTATTCACGTGGCGCTACGTATTACGAACTCCTCTATGTATTCCTCACACTTTTCGCGTGGGACTTCCTCGCAACGTATTCAAACGCCACGCCCTCGATACGCAGAGCGTGATTTATTTGGGGATCGTGCTGTCGCTCGAGACTTCATCGCGGTTCATGCAGGACGTACGCTTCAGCAACCCGCCTGTTCGACCTGGCCACCTGGGCCCACTTTCCAGACCCGCCTGCTCGGGTCTACCAGCCCGATCTGCCCGTCTGGTTCTGCCAAATTATTTCTGCTCCTAGCCCCCTTCTTGCTACTCTCTCTCTCTATCTCTCGTGTTCCATCCTCCTCCCCCCATTGTCCCTTCCTTATATCCGGCCTCTCTCCCCCTGCCTTCGGGGCCGCTCGAAAGACACACTGCCGGAAAGAAAGATATATCCCCAACGGGGTACGATCGAACACGAAGAGAACAGGTATCGAGGGTTTGGGATATACGTGTTGAATAGCACGCGACCAGATAAGAGCGATCAAACTTAAAATGTTGTTGTTGATGTTGTCGTTGTTGCTGTTGTTGTTGCTGCTGCTGTTGTTGTTGCTGTTGGGGGGCCTGTTTCGGCGCGGCCCCGAAACGCCTGAGCGTGAATCTGAATTCCAAAAGATGCAGCTGGCGCCGAAGCGAGAGCGCCAAGGCACCATTCGGGTGTCCAACAATACCAATTGCTAAACATTTCAGGCTCGAAGGAATCATACCCTCCCCCCTGTTTCATGCTCCCCCTCCCCACTCCTCAGGTACCGAAGGTTCGGGATGCACGTGTTGAATGGCACGCGAAATGTATACGAACATATGTAATGTTGTTGTTGGTGGTGTTGTTGCTGTTGTTAAACCTTCAGTACTAAAACCATGTTTTATTTCTGGTCATCCTGAATGCGCGTTCGCGCTCTCGCCGAAGCGACCGTTCCATTTCCTTTGAAAACTAGGCTCACGCTCAAGAATTCCGGGGGTCCGCCAAAACCGGCCCCCCAACAACAACAAAAGTCTGACTCGAGACCTCCTCCTTCTCAGTGGGGGCCGGGGCTCTTGCTCGCCGGCCAGAGGCTGCCCTTCCAACAGAGCCGACGCTCCCGCTAGATACTTCCGTGCCTTTAACCTCAAGACCGGCGCTCCCGCCTCAAGGCCCCCCGCAAACAACGACGCTTCCGCTTGACATTTCCTCCGCCTTTACTCGAAGACTCCCAAAAGGCCCTGAGGCGCTTCCCTAGTCCCCGTTGAACCTGTTACTGTTGGACACCCTGAATGCGCCCTTGTCTGCTCGCCGAGCCCTGCCCTCCGCGGCCAGCTCGAAGGGTCACGGCGTGTCACCGGGGCGGGCCCCTGCCCCCGTGGAAGACTGCCTTCGTCGTCGTCATCGTCGTCGTCGTCTCTCCCTCTTCCTTCTCCTCTCTCGTCGTGGTCGTCGTCGTCGTCCTCCTCCTCCTGCTCCTCCTCCTCCTCCATCCTCGCCATCCCTCCTTCCTTTTCCTCCTGCCCCTCCTACTCCTCCTCCTCCTCCTCCTCCTCATTATCCTCCTGCTCCTCCTCTTCCCCCTCCTCCTCTTGCTCTCTCCGCTTCTT